TTTTTTTTTTTTTTTTTTTTTTTTTTTTTTTACATTATGCAGAAGTTCAGCCGGGTTTCTTTTCTTCTTCATAGCATGGAGAGCAATCCGATTTATTTCATTTTTTTTATTTCTTTTTTTTTCTTTTACAGTATGCACAATTCAGCAAGGTTTCTTTTCTTGATTACAGTTTGCAGTACTAAGCCGGTTTTTTTTTTTTCTACAGCATGCAGGAACCTAGCCGGGTTTCTTTTCATTATTAAAGTATGTGGGAGCTCAATCGGGGCTCTTTTGTTTTTCCCACCACACAGGAACTAAGCCGGGTTTTTTTTTCCTGACTTTCTAATGACATGGTAATATACTTCAATACAGATCATTCCTGGATATTGCGAATAAATGTAACAGATTTTTTTTATAATAATTAATATTATCATTCGCGATGACGTTAGACGAGGAACAGTTTTGTCGTGGATTTCGTGCAAAGCTACAGAAGGGCTATCTGCGTTGTCCGCCTCTAATTTCGAAACGTTAGATCAGAGAGAGAACAGCTGGCCACTACCACTCACCGAAAAAATTGGGCTACTCCTACTGGACTGAACAGTAGGATCTGACTGTCAATCTTATAACGCACCCACGCCCCCAAATTGCGGAACCCTTTTTTTTCTTCTTCTTTATTTATGGTAACAGGACGCTACCCACAGAATCTCCGCTCCTCAATCTGGTACGCTAACCAGTGGGCTACGTTCGGCCCACGAGAAATAGAGTTTTATAATTAGCGCCTTCTCACCTGTTATCGTCGCGAAATAGACGTTTTCCTGTCAATGCGACTTTGTTTTCCTTTTATGTTCTTAAACTACGTTGACATTTGTTTTTTACACCTTCCAGTTAAGAAGAGTGAGAAGATGACTTCGACATTCAAGTGTTTGGTGGGTGGAAAATATTTCATACTTTAGATTCTGGTCTGTTTAGAATTTTCGCGCAAGATTACACAAGGTATATTCGCGTATAACTGTCAGACTACAAGGAAAACAGCTGGTCATCAGTGCCCACAGCGAATTCTAACTGTTGGGCTACTTTTGTCTGACCGAATAGTGGGGGTTGATCCTCATTCTTGTAGCTATCAGAGGGACGCGAACAAAAACCCTGGGATCCTCAGACCGGGCACACTAACTAATCAGCCACACCCGATCTTACGTGACGTCAAAGTTCACACCTCCATGGTGATACGTAATCAGCTTGATACAGATACTGTAAATTAATCAAATTACAAACAATCAACCAAATACATAATTATAAATTAATAACTACGAGAGCTTATGCGTACAAAAACTGCGCAGGACACCTTAATCTACAAGTTTACACTACGATTATACTCCGTATTTAAGTTGACATGATAAATATTAGAGATTCTTAGTAGCGTTTTACAAGTTGACAAGATAAGGACTTGATTCGTGATAATTTTACAAACAAATCTATTGTTCTGGCTTTTTAAAGTTGGTATTTATAAACGTTTTGGTGGTATAAAATATATAATAAGCTACGGCAGTACGCTTTGTTGGTTTATTTAACTTGTTAAGCAGATACAAGAGACTACTGGATCAACAGTGCCAACATATTTCTTAACTAGTCAACCTAGGATAATTAGTTTATTTAACTTGTTAAGCAGATACAAGAGACTACTGGATCAACAGTACCGACAAGTTTCTTTACCAGTTAAGCTAGGATAGTTGATTTATTTAACTTGTTAAGCAGATACAAGAGACTACTGGATCAACAGTAACGACATGTTTCTTTACCAGTTAAGCTAGGATAGTTGATTTATTTAACTTGTTAAGCAGATACAAGAGACTACTGGATCAACAGTAACGACATGTTTCTTTACCAGTTAAGCTAGGATAGTTGATTTATTTAACTTGTTAAGCAGATACAAGAGACTACTGGATCAACAGTTAATGTAGAATAGTTGGTTTATTTAATTTATTAAGCAGATACAAGACTAGTGAATCAACAGTAGTAACATGTTTGTTAACCATTTAAAGCTTCACAAACACGTTAATTCTGTAGGCTGAAGCTGAAGTGTTTGCTTAAGAAATATGTGGTTTTATAGTTTGAAGTTAAAGTGTACGTTCAAAAACACGGTAATTCTATATATAGAATTACCGTGTTTTTTAACGCACACTTTTACTTCAAACAATAGAATTACCGTGTTTTTTAACGCACACTTTTACTTCAAACAATAGAATTACCGTGTTTTTTAACGCACACTTTTACTTCAAACGTTTGAAGTAAAAGTGTGCATTAAAAAATACGGCAATTCTATAGTTTGAAGTAAAAGTGTGCGTGAAAAAACACGGTAATTCTATAGTTTGAAGTAAAAGTGTGCGTTAAAAAACACGGCAATTCTATAGTTTGAAGTAAAAGTGTGCGTTAAAAAAACACGGCAATTCTATAGTTTGAAGCAAACGTGTGCATGAAAAAACACGGTAATTCTATAGTTTGAAGTAAAAGTGTAGGCTTCAGAAACACAGAAATATTGTAGATTAAAGTTTTGTTAGTTAGGTTGTTTTCAGTTAGTGGATCGAATCGTAGCTTAGGTTCCTAATGTGTAAGTGATCGAGGAACAGATATAACCGAGGGGAAACTGGAACTGATATGTGTTTACCTAAGGGGGAGGGGGGGTCTATTCTAAGGAAAACAAGGTCAGTGTGTCCATAGATGTCAATCGACAGCAAGGGTTTGTATGTAGGTCATGCTGCTCGCTCAGTTATGTTTGTATCTTCACCACGTGATTTTCATTCGAGAACACGCGGCACGTGCATTAATAATAGGTTAGTCGGAAACGAGAATATTACAGATTGCTTAGAAGCTCTCAAGTTTATGGAGAACGAAAGGATGAGCAATGGGCCAGAAATAAATAACAGATAATGGCTAAAATTGAAGAATGCCTGGTTACTTGATTATAAACATTTAAAACATAAGTGTCCTAACAAATGTTTGGTAGGCTTTCTTTTGCATTGTAAGGATTTTTGGCGGGTTTCCAATGCAGGATATCGTATATATATATATAAAGATAGGGAGAATGAGAGTGTTTTCTTTTTTTTCTTGTTTTGTTGTTCTCACGTCCCTATTGGCTTAATAATACATAATATACTCACAAAATCATTGATATCTTCGTAAATATCTGCTGAAAGTTACAGAAATGTTACAGGTAGTTATGAAAATGTCACGTGCGTGTGTGTTACAAAGGTATTATTTGATTCAAAACAATGTCTATCGTATAGCTTTGTATCGTATTCAGCTCGATGACGAAAACAAAAAAGTTAGAAGCTTAGCGTAAGACGAATGGCGTGGAAACGATATGACTGTTACCTACACTAAAATAAGAAAATATTTCGGTTACCCAGAGATACGGAAAGGAAACTACAACTTGCTAAGTTTATCAGACTGGAAAACAGACTGCAAACTGCGTAAAAGTCAGCATCACAACAGCTACAGATTGGTAAAAAGTCGATGTCTCAAGAGTGACACCATAGCTATAGAATAGTAAACGTCGGGTCTAAAGAGTGACGTCATATCTATATAATAGTAAACGTCGGGGTCTAAATAATGACATCATAGCTATATAATAGTAAGCGTCGGGGGGTCTAATGAGTGACGTCATAGCTATAGAATAGTAAAAGTCCAGGGCGAACAGATTTCCAAACCGAAACAGTCCAGCCATTGCCCAGAATTAAAATTGCTATTACGAATTTGAAATAATTGAACTTATATTTGATTTATTTCGAAGTTATTGAACTGTTCCACAATATTCCCAAATATATATATTAACATCGGCATTGTTTTTAAAATAGTTTCAACTACCTTTTTCGAGCGATATACACAAAACAAATAAACAAAAACAGAAATATTTAATTATTCACTTTATCCAGTTCATAGGCTACTTCGTATGTGGATTTATTTAAGAATTCATAAAATTTTAAAACATACTACCTTAAGGTTTGAACATTCCTTTGAAACTTTTTAGACATATTTTTGTGAAAATGAATGAAACGTAAAGTGTTGTTTTTCTCATTAAATAGTCGTGAAATTCGGTACATGACCGTGTAAAAATGTGTTTTCACAATCAGCAAGTCAAGTAGGCTTATTACATTCGTGATTCGACGTGACTACCAAAAAACGAGACTATCCTGGCGAAACCGGGACGTCTGGTCACTCTATAAAAGTCGGTGTGTTAAGATTGACATCATAGCTATTGGACACTTTATTAAAGTGGAAAGTACACTAATACCGTCCAAAGTCAATATCTAAAGAGTGACGTCATAGCTATTGGACACTTTATTAAAGCGGAAAGTACACTAATACCGTCCAAAGTCAATATCTAAAGAGTGACGTCATAGCTATTGGACACTTTATTAAAGCGGAAAGTACACTAATACAGTCCAAAGTCAGTATCTCAAGAGTGACGTCATAGCTATTGGACACTTTATCAGAGTGGACAGTACACTAATACCGTCCAAAGTCAGTATCTAAAGAGTGACGTCATAGCTCTGAAATACTGCATCAATAAGTCTTCTTTCTTACGCTGTAACCTGTTATTCATGTAACAAGATATTAGATGATATATATATATCTGTAGCAGCATCTGTGTCTTAAAGTCTGCATTCAGAAACCAGAACATATTTTACGTTTTTTTTAATCTACCGAAATACATTAACATTTTACTGAGTTTTGTGGTCAATCCATCTGGTCAGCCTTGACCCGACTATGTCTAAAGACGTCCTTCGCTAACAACAAGTAAATTATTACTACTTAGAATTTACGCTGATATGATAGATAGATAAACTTCGCACATACACACTTTGAACAGACAACAAAGAAATGAATATCAGCGAAAGTTACAAGGCAGATTAACGGAAGAGATGTTTGTGAAAATCATCATGTAGGTCAATATGATAACACACACAAATCAATCTTTTGGCCTTCCTACTACAAGTCTTTCCTTTATGGAAGGAACCGATGTCCTGGCTCCCGGTATTTAGGTCAAACCTGCTCGTCCAGTGCGAGCACGTGCGCTACTTTCATAGACCATCTCCAGCCTGAGGGCTTTATGTTTCTCTGCACGTTATTATTCTAACAAGGTTTCTTGCTCATCACCAGCAGATGTTCAGATCTTCGTACATTACTTGCTCATCACCAGCAGATGTTCAGATCTTCGTACATTACTATTTGTATTTATATTAACTCTTTTGACCAGTGTATTGTTGTTGTTTTTCTGTTATTAACAACAATTTTTCAACTAACTAAAATAAAACGAACAATAATCATGTATGTTGTATGTATGTTTTTGAATTTCGGGCAAAGCTACACAAGAGCTATCTGCGCTAGCCGTCCCTAATTTAGCAGTGAAAGACTAGAAGGCAGCTAGTCATCACCACCCACCGCCAACTCTTGGGTCACTCTTTTACCAACAAATAATGGGATTGACCCTCACATTATAACACCTCCACGGCTGAAAGAGCGAGCATGTTTGGTGGGACGGGGATTCGAACCAGTGACCTTCAGATTGCGAGTCAAACGCCCTAACCACCTGGCCATGCCGGGCCAAATACTCATGAACATAATTTAACATCAACGACTTTTGTGATTCAGTGATAGAGTTGGTTTTCAATTAAAACTAACCAGTCATGTTACTTCATTAATTTACATGAGACTGCTGTTTCAGTATTTTTTCTTGCATCTAATGATATTATCGTCCTCCATTGACACAGCCGTAAGTCTGAGGGCTTATAACATAAAAAATCGAGTTTCGATATCCGAGGTGAACAGAGTACAGCCCATTGTGTACCTTCGTGCTTCACAACAAATACAAAAAACCGGTATTACTTCTAAATTTTACCTTATTTTTTACTAATATCACATATTACTTTCACTAGTATCCATTTTACCACTGCTACTTCTTATATTTTACCATTACTATTCCTCACCTTTCATTAGTGTTAATTCCTATTTTTATCACTGTTTTTTGCTGTGTTTTACGAGTATTACTACCTATTTTTACCGGTATTATTCTTACCTTTTACCAATAGTACTTTATATATTTTACCAGTATTACTTCCTATATTTTACCAGTGTTACTTCCTATATTTTACCGGTAGTACTTCCTTTTTTCTCTTCCTTTTTTGTTTATAATTCTCTCACAAATCCAATAGAGGCTCCCGATCTGCACATAAACATCACCAATTTTGAGTTGCTAGAATAGAGAGGAAGCAGCTAGTCAATAACACTTGTCTCTAAATCGTCGGCTGTTCTTAGCTGATCGAATAATGAACTTTCACCGTCACTATTACAACGCTTCCAAAGTGTGGAGCGCATTTTGCTGAAACGGGTCGCGAGCCATGAATCCCCGAATTCACAGTCCGTAACACTAACCACTAGGTCACGCCAGGTCCTCCCACTCTTTGTTTTATCGATGTTACTTCCTTTTTTTACCAGTTTT